TCCTACATTTGGTCCGCAATGTGGTCGCAAGAATATTGCCAAAAATGTATTTTTCTAGGAAATCGGTAAATATATATGTTACATAATCGTAACGCAACAGGTTAGTCATCTATTTATTTTCAGATATGCAAAAACCGTAATCAAAATCGAATACCCCACATGGGCATCACGCGCTTGCATTTTTCAGCTTTCAAGTATTTTGTGTAACATTTGTAAATGATCATGCCAGTAAAATAATTAAATATAATTAAAATTATCACTTACATATGTATGATCCTTCTCCAAACGCGTAACCTTGACCTGCAATAAATATAAGATATTAAATAAAATAAAAACATCAAATAATTTGCTGAATGTAATTGAGCATGCAGACTATATAAATTTTGATAAGCGTCATTATTTTCCTGACAAATGTAAGATATCATACCCGGACGTCCAATCACTGGATTGGCATTCGATTTAGACATTCTAAGTATGTACTACCAAAAATTTATTGATGTTCGTTGTATTGAATTAAAGTTTATTGCAAGTATTAAAATATGTATATGATTTATAGTCTAAGTTAGTTATAGAAGGTATATTATAAACCTAGTACAAAAACTTTGAAAAAAAAATTTTTGAAAAAATGTTGAAATTTTGAAAAAAAAAATTGAGTTTCTTGAAATTTTTTATTCTTTTTCAATATTTTGTTTTTTTTTTGTATTTGTTTTTTTATTTTGAACATTTTTTTAGGCAATCGCGCTGCATGCTGATTTGAAGTCGAAAAATCAAAGTATAAACATTGGTACGGAATCTATATAAATGTACACAAAAATTGTACTTATTATAATCTTCGTAAAAAAATATATGATATCTGACGATGTACATTATGTCTAATGTTCTTTTTGACCGCAAAATGGCATTATATTTTACTTTTTTATTGGATCTCCGGACACGCTACATCTGCCTTACAAAAAATTTACCAGTTGTTCATTTCGTCAATACAAATAAAAACACAAAAATCTTTTCAGAATTATTTAATCGGACGCTCCGTTATCTCAAAACTAAAATACCATTTTTGGCAGTTTTTGTCCCGTATCTCCGAAACGGCTAGACCTGCTTTGCCAAAAACTAATCAGCACGTCTCTTATCAGTAGGAATCGAATGTTTTTTGAATTATTCAAATCGGTTGATCCGTGTTCCGAAATCGTCGATGAAAATTTGTATCCACACACAAATACACCACACACCACACACACATATCTATTTTTTTCTAAGGTATGATAAAAGGTAAAGAGATATAAAAATTTTCTTTTCGTTTTTTTGCGATTTCTATGACTTACCCTAGGAAAGCTAGTTATAACTGCTGAGAAAGTAGATAAGGTATCAGAGTTTAAATAAGCATTTGTTGCATTTCTTCTATTTCAATTACCCATACCATTTATTCCATAGTACTTCTCGGAATGATTTCGTCCATCAAACACTATAAGGCTTTGTATAATTATTACAAGGTCATCTTCAAGTACTTCTTATTACCCCGTAGTCCATATCTTAATCATTTTGTAACGAATTAATTTTTCTCAAGACCGACCGACCCGACCGAGTTTATCGCGCAATGAACGGCCCATTAATAAATAATTCACACGACAAATATAAACACTGAAACGCTTCAGTAAACTAAATGCCACACGATTAGATAGCGGTACCAACACACTGACACTGTGAAACCGAAAGCAGCCTGTCATAATTTTGACAAATATTAAATCATAGTACGGGAGGCTAGGACACCGAAATAGAATACATATGGCCATTTAAAGTGGAAGCATCGGACAAATGAATTATGTACTCATGGCCAAAAGTGGCCATTCACATATCTTCTTAAACCAAAAGAATGCAATATAATGCATGGCCAAAGGTGGCAACCCAACGGTAGGCCTATCTTTTTTTCATGAATTTTTCATTAAATTTTATTGAATGCAGCAATGCCAGAAATGACTATTTTTACATGAGAAGCACCAGACAACCAAATTTGTACTCAAGGCCAAAGGTGACCATTTAAATAACTCCTTGAACTAAAATAAATTATAATCGAAATAAATGCTTTTAATATAAATGTCTAAGATCGTATTATGAGTATAACCATATTTATACATATATTATTAACATCAATCAGAACTTCATCGTCTTATAAGGTTTTTGTGATGACTTCTAAATGAAGTGGCTTTATAGATGGCAACGCAACGGTTGGCCTATCTTTTTTCGATGAATTTATTATTAGAATGGTTTAAATCCTGATAACTATTTTGAATGTAGAAATGCCGGTAAGGGCTATTTTCAAACTTGGAAACATATTGCTATCTATGTTCTAAAGTTGAAATCGATGTTACTACTGCTTGACATCAGGCTGCCCGAGGGGTATCGAACTTGTAACTTCAGAAAGATGCTCATAATTTTAACCACTAAAACTACAAGATGTGTATGCCACATAAAAATAACGAATACATTTTAAATTTAAATAAATACTATATGAGTAATATAAAAATGTTATAAAAGATAAGTTAGAAATAGTTTATATTTATACTAATAATATAACGTGTGCATGAAGATAAACAACATTAATGTGATATTAAATTTCTTATTTTGCATTTATTTTTTGTGTAGACATAATTAATATAATAATTAGTCTTACCATTTTATATAAGTACCATATTATATCAAAAATAGTATAAAATACTTATGACTCCAGACGAAATCAACAATCAAGTTAATTAATATTTAAAAAAGATTTTATAATTATACAAAATTCAAGAACAACAAATTTCTGAAGCAGTTTTATTTCAAAAAATAATAAAATACCCGAGACTCGAGACGAAACAATCAAGTTAATTATTATTTAAAGAAGATTTTATAATTAGAAGTTATATGGAATTATTGTTACAGATGTAATGATTTTAAAAAGTTTCATAAAATTTAGATGATTTAATATTTTGAAGCATTTGAATTTGATTACTAATTAATCAATTATTATACATATACATTAGGGTGGTCCCTAATATGGACATTTTCGAATTTACTTGTTCCCAGGGCTCAAATGGTTCCAAATTTATAAAAAACAATTCTTTGAAAGTTTTAGCTCTTAATATTTAGTATTAGTGTATGATATTTCCAAACAAAACTTTGATTGAATTGCACACTATTAAAAGACAATATTAAGAGCTAAAACTTCAAGAGAATTGTGTTTTGTCAATTTGGAACCATTTGAGCCCTTGGTAGCAAGGAAATTCGAAAATGTCCACTTTAAGAACCACCCTAATATACATAAATACATATAATTAAATATTCCTGTTTTGGCATCCATAGACTTATTGCAAATAAAACTATTGTATTAAAAAATATATAAAGAATTCCCATACGTTTCCAGTACTAATTACACTCTTTTTCAATAGACAACATTAAAAAATAAAAAAAAAAAAATATAACATCAATTTTTTTTAATAAATAATGAGCTTAATCCACCATTATCCTATGCCATCTCAAGAATTTATATACAGAGTATTATAATAAATAATGTAATATTATATAATAATATTTTATAGTAATAGTATAATATTATGATAATGTTTTGTTTTTGTTGTTAATGTTAATTAAAATTTCATTTAAAAAAATTGTTAATTTGGAGCTTTGTGATTTCTTATATGATTTGCTGAATGATGGCACATATCAAGGGTCGATAGGTAAAATAAAATAATTTTCATTATTATTTCATTTTTTAGGCTGCGATATATGACAAAATAGTTAATAATGTAATGAATACATATTAATAATCTCAAGTTGATTCCACAATAAAAGTGAAAACGTCTTAGCCCGATCTATTACTATTTACTCGCGACTTGCGGTGAACTTTTACTAATTTCATCCACATTCAATATTGTAACGGGCACCGGTTAAAATTCGCACCTCGAGGAGTTGCTGTATCGCAACCGTTATATATTACGTCCATTATTCATATTACGATATACATGTGCTCTGGAACACTAACAATTGTTTTCTTAAGATATTAGAAGGTGGCTACTAATTAACTAGGTGTCGAGCGTTGTGTTCGCTAAACACAAATCAAACCAGCCGCTCTTACTAGCGCTCGACTCGGTACCAGTCCAACCAGTTTGTCTCGCTCTTCGGCCACTATAACTAGTTTCCAGTCAAGATGTATATGACGACTGATGTAGTAAAAAAAAATCGAACTCCTGCCAGACATATAAACAAAACTGACTAATTGCGAGAAAGTTTTACCATTTACTAAATCATTACACTAGTATTGTGGCGCATACAGGTTTTGATGATTTGCAACACGCTGTTGAATGGGAAAAGATGGATGGAAATGCATTTATCTTCACACTTAGGTCATTATATCTTTCTGTAATTAAATAATTTTGTAATTGATAATAATGGACAAAATAGAATTCGTTGAAATGAAAAGTGAAATTATTATCGATTGAAAACTAAAAATAGCTTTTACGTAATGAATGTACGGTATTAATTAACAGTCATTATGTTGTTTCGTCATTATTTGTTTTTGGCTTTCAACGTCAGAAAGTGTTAAAATTATAATCTTTAACTTCCCGTAGGGCAAGTTATAGTAATCGCAAAAAAATCGAAAATGAATTTTTTATAGATCTTTACGTTTCAAAACCTTCTGAACATTTTGGCTTACCTTAGAAAAAATGGTTGTATGTGTGTGTGTGTGCGTGTATGTATGCATGTTCGGATACATATTTTTGTCGACAATTTCGGGAACACGGATCAACCGATTTGAATAATTCAAAAAACATTCGATTTGTATTGATAAGGAGACGTGCTGATTAGTTAGATTAGAAGATATGGGATTTGGCGGTCAAAAATGAACATTAGACATATTCACATCAAATTATCAGATATTTATAGAGATTTTAACAATAAGTATAAATTTTGTTAAAGCAGTACGATTGCTTTGAAAAAAAGTTCAGAATTTCCAAAATATTTCAGAATAAATGATTTAAGATAGAAGGATTTAATATGGTTCGAAATTCTATTAAAAGTTTCAAATCATTGATCAACTTTTATTGATTATTATTATTGATTATTTTTAATCACTCGAATTTTGAATTGCGGTACGGACAGTTCCAGCAATTTGCCTTAAGGCACGATGCCCTAATTGCCTTAAGACAGAATTCCACTTACAGCTAGTTATTTTTCTATTTTATGCATAAACTATATTAATAATTTTGAATGAACGCTATGAATATTGGACAGGGTTGGTACAAACTAAGCATTTGTGGTGTAGC